GCTCCCCCGAGCCTCCCTGGGCTGCAGGGAAAGCTGCGAGGCCACTGAAGTGCCCGGATCCGAGGGCTGGTGCCTGAGCAAGGCCGTATCTGCAGCTCAAACTTCCCCTCGCCCCGCTCCGAGCCCGCGGGTCCCTGGTATTACCGCTCCGTGTCTGCCTGAGCCTGTGAGCCCTGAAGCCCTGAAGGTATTAGCCCTTTTCCCAGGATGTCGAGGTGTTCACTGTGCTTCCTGTGCCACCACCAGGCTGGCACTGCCCTGCGCCACCAGCACGTCTGGAGACCCCGGCACTCTGGGGCTTTCATCCCCTTACCTGTGAGTTGCAGGGCCAGCGGCCGGTCCAAGGTCATCCTGGGATGAGCGGCAGAGTCAGGAATAGAACTTGGGAGCCCTGACTCCCAGGCCCGAGGGCCCTGCCTGCGTCATTACCTAATGCCCCAGCTGAGCTGTCTTGGTGAGGTGTTTCCTTTCACAGGCTCCGCTGCTCTCACTGGGCTGCTCCGCTCCAGGGACTGCCAGTCCCAGGCTGCTAAAATTAAAGGTGAAGTAGGTCCAAGAGACCAGAGAAAACAACTGCAGGTGCTCAGAGCAGCCGGGAATCTTGGTGTCAGCAGAATGGGAAGCAGAGGATGTTTTTTCATCTCTCCTTTCCTGCCTGCTTGGGGTCACAGCTGGGAGATGCTTCTCCCCATGTGTTAGGAGCCAGGAAGAGCTGCTGCAGTTTTTCTGGGGGTTGATTTCCTGCCTCAGCTGGCCTCGAGCTCCCTGCTCTCCTGTTGTCTGTGGGAGGCAGTTCTGGGCTGTCTTATTTCCTAGAGCATTGGAAAATGGGAGCTGAAGTGTCCATGCCCAGCCCCCGGCACTGCTGGAGGGGAGGGCTGGGGTTTTCCCTGGGGCCAAGGGCATTTCTGGCCTTAGCTGAAATGAGCTGCAACAGTGAGAGAGCCCTGGGGTCCAAGGGAGCCTGTCCTCCCGTGATCAGCCCTGAAATCCTGCTGGATTCCCTTGGGCTCTTTGGAAAATCCCAGCCCAGAGGAGCCGTGTGCTGCCTGAGACGGAGGAAGAGAGGCTGGCCAGATGGTGTTGCAGTCAGAGCAGAGGCAGGGCCATTCGACACCAGGGTCACCAAGTTGGAGGATCAGGTGCTGGCTCGTGTGGGCTCCGGAAGGAAATCAGATTCCCTCATGTCTTGGCCAGCTCAGCTGGGCCTAGACCGCCAAGAGAGTGGGGCTGAGCGAGCCCCGGAAGGAGCGGTGCCCTACAAGCCTCCCTAGGCAGCGGGCTCTTTGCAGGGCCCAACTAATGTGCTCTGGTGGAGATGGGCGTTGTGAGCACCTCCCCGCTGCTCGAGGGCCTGGTCCCAGCCTGGCTGCTACCTGTGCCCCGAGAGCTGTGATGCTGCCTTTGCCAGGCCCTGCAGGGCAGGCTGGGCTCGGGTGCCCAAGCAGGGTGTGCATGGCGTGGCCTGTGAGCTCTCCCCCTCGGGCCCGGGTGAAGCATGTGCAGCCAGGCTGGGGCTGTCTGCAGCTGGCTCTATGTCGGCGCTTGTTCAGCAGCGTATTTGTAGAGCAACAGAGGCCTCCAGTGTCCATCATGGTGAATCTTGCTGCACAGGGCCTGAGGCTGTCCCGGGTCACGCTTCCACAGCCTGCTCCCTCCAGTGCCATGACCGACCCTGGCTGGGCTGGCTCCAGGCACCAAGTGCAGCTGGGAGCATGGGATGAACAGTGGCAGTCGAGCTGGGGAGGACTTGGGGTGAGAGCAAGGGGTGGGAAGCAGGGACTTCCGGGGTCTGTCCCTTGTGACCCCACAGATCACGCTCCTCGCCTTCCTGCGAGCAGTGAATGCAGAGCTGTGGTGAAGGGCTTGGCAGTTTCTGCTGTAGGGCGGGGGCAGAGCGGGACCACTGTGCCAGGGCAGGCATCTCTCCTGTGCCACGGCCTGTGGACTGGGCACGCGCAGGTGTTCCACGCATGCTTGTGCCAGTGCAAAGGATGAGGTGCAGTGCAGCAGGCACTTGAGTCCAGGGCCCTTGAAGACTTGTAGAGGAAACACGATTGATAAATGCAGGCTCTTGCTGTTTGCATTCCCTCCCCAAGGGTGCGTGGCAGTGCTTCTCCCCACACTGAGCAGTGCCAAGGCCTCTGGAGTGGCCAGTCCTGCCTTCCAGACTAGCAGGGGCCTCATGCTGTCTGTAGGGCCCTAGGGGCTCCCCAGGTCTCCTGGGGCAGACTCCTGCCTACCTCCAAAGCCAGGCCAGGGCTCAGGCTAGAAGGGGAGGCATTCGTTTAGCTGTATCGGTGCCCTCTGGCTGCCCTGCGAGCAGGGCTGGCTGGGCTGCAGGGGCCCCAGGCTAAGTGCCAGGCTGGTCCAGGGGGCAAGCGGTGGTTCTGTCAGGCAGGATGCTGAGGAGCATCACTGCTGAGAGGAATCAGAATGACCCGGGGCTCAGTGCCTGCCCTGCCTGCCTCCCAGTGCATCGGCATGGGGCTTGATGTGCAGGCAGCCTTGCACACATCTACCCGAGGGTGCAATGGGACAGGAACAGGATTAACCCCCAGGTGAGCCACATGCTTGGTTCAGTAATGCCAAAGTCACAGCTGTACCAGGCAGCAATCGATGTGTTGCCAGCTGCAAGGCATGGCCTTTCTAGGAGGGTCTAGCCCCTGGAAGAGACACCGTCCAGTTGGATTTGCTTGCAAACCCAGGCACGTGCACGAGTCACTTCATGTGGGAGTTCAAGGGAGTGTGTGGGGCTGCTCACGAGTGCAAAATCACTCAGCCATGCACCTGTTTGCGAGGGGCGCTGGACTGTGGCAGGGCTGGGAAACCAAAGGCTGATGGCCCAGCTGCCCCGATAAGAGACCAGATGCCTCCAAGACCAGGGAACATCTGCTGCTGGAGCAAACAAATATTTCCCTGCGGTCTTTGCAGCACAAATATTGCAGCTGTGTGCTGGGTCTGAGTGTGGAAGCACACTTGTTTCCTTAGTCTGACCTGCAAAGTGCCAACAATGAACACTTCAGAGGGTGATTGGGGAGCTGGATTTTAAAAATATTCGCAGCTTTTGTCACCTCCCCGGTGTGATGGCAGCCTGTTATTCCTTGGTCCCGGAGGGCCTGGCATTTTGCATTTGGGTCACCATGTACTTTCTATTGCAAAACATGCTTGTGAAGTTTTTGCAGTCGCGTCTGTGCCTGCCCCAGGGCAGGGGAGCCTTGCTCAGGGTGGCTGAACTCAGGACTTGGCCCCTGTGTCTGGGGAGGAGTGGGCTTCCCATTTCCTTCTGTAAGTGCCACGGTATCTGGTCAGGGCTGTTGTTGCAGGGAAAGCAGCACTGCTGGTGCTGGGATGTGCAGGGCGCTCTCTGCGGGGCTGGCGAACCAGAAGCCACGTTCCACGTGGCAGACCTGAGGCCCAGGGAAGGGCATGGGGTGGGCCTGCCTTGCTTATTCACAGGCCAGGCAGCTTCAGCCCTTCCAGGGAGAGGGGGAGGGGGAGAGGGCTGCTCAGCCCTGGACTGCCTGCCTGTTCCTGGAAGGGTTTTGTGCCAGGCTTCTTCTGTTGTAGTGGGAGTTGTGGAGCCCTGCTTCAGCTCTGCATGGTGTCAGGGACAAGGCCGACACTTTCTGCCTGTGCACTAGCAGCCTTGGGTTGCTGCTGGCTGTGTTTGGGCAGCACCTCAGCTCCTGGGAGCACAGGGCAGACGATCATTCTGCAGCATGTGCTCAGCTGGCCCAAGAAGGGTTTTATGGGTCTCCCTGCTCCCAGCTCGGCTCCTTCAGTGCCCACCCGGAGCGAAGACAGTGCTGAGACACTTGGGCTCATCGTGGGGTGCACAGAGTGATGGTGCCAGGGCCACTGCCTGCAGCACCCCCACTCCTCCCCCCTTGCCTCACTCACAGGCATGTCTCTGGCTCTCTTGGCCAGGGCTTTATCTGCTTTTTGACTGCATTATCTTCTGCTCCGCTAATAGGGAGGGGAAGGAGAGGAAAAGCTGCAGTCTGCAGTTTGAAGGTCATCTGTCAGCTGCAGCGAGGCAAGGCTTTCTGCAAAGCAGGCTGCTGAGATGCAGCCGCCAAGCCCAGCTCTTGCAGCTGCAGCCTTCTCCCGGGGCTCTGCACCGTCCCTGTTGCACCCGTGCTGAGGACTGGAAACCTCCTTAGGGGCTGAGGAGAGGAAAGCCCCAGACACCCGGGGAGGAAAACCAGTTGCTAGTGTGTGAGCTGGGAGGTCCAGCAGCAGAAGAGGCTTTGCTATGTTTAAAAGCTGGGCTTTGCTAAAGATGCTGTGGGTAGGCGTGTGCCCTGGGGCTCCCCACTGGCATCTGCCCAGCAGCATAGCTTTCCCCGGGAGCCTCAGCTCCAGCCCTGCTGCGGGCACTGAGGAGCTCCTGCACTGTACGTGCCAGTGGGGCTTGGTCCTGCCAGAGACAGTGCGTGTAGGTGGGCTCCCTTCCTCTAACGTGCTTGGCTGCCCTGGGCAAGCAGGGCAGCTGGGCCACGGCTTGTCTTTGAGAAGGAGAAAGAGAGTCAAGGAGCCAAGTGGCCTGGCCGTAGGTTGCTCAAGGAGCCGGTAGCAGAACCCAGGAGTGCGGGCCCTGCACTGAGCTGCAGCCCCGCTCCCGAGCGGCGCTTGGCAGCTGTCACAGCAAGGGCGGTGTGGTCCTTTGTGCCTGAGCCTGGTGTCAGCTGCTGGGACGGGCAGGGGAGAGCTGTGCCCCACAGCACGGGGGCGCTCCAGGGACCAGAGCGGAGCATCCCGCTGCCAGCAGTGGAGCTCTGCCAGCCCTCGCACTCCCCGTGACCCCCCCCGCTGCCTCCATAGCTCATGGAGACACGACTGCCCCCACGCATGTCAGCCTCCCGCAGGGATGCCCTGCTTACCTGTGCCTGTGACAGTGCTGCCCTGCGCCCCTTACCTGCTGGAGTGCACGCGCCCTTCCACCCCAACCCGGCTCCCTGTCACCGGGCACCAGCCTCTAGCTGCAGCGCCCGCTTCCTCCACCCATGCATGTCTGCTCCCAGCGGTCTGCCCGGCCCTGACCCCGCTGACCTGCTCCCCCTTAGCCCTGCGCAGCTGGAGGGGGGCGTCTCACTCTCTCATCCTCCCCGGGCAGGGCTGTACATGTGTGCTGTGGCGGTCGCCTTGGAGGTGTCGGTGGGAAAGACCAACGTGGTGACAGCTCTGAACGGCTCGGATGTGCTGCTGCCCTGCGTCTTCACCACCTGCATTGGCTTCTGGGACCTCGTCTTCACCTGGTCGTACAACGACAGCACAACGGTGCGGGGCCTGCAAAGCACAGCAGTGCCAGGGCTTTATCAGGGCTGGGCCTGGCCAGCGGCCCCCGCTCCCAGCGTAGGCGTCTCCCTGGCCGTGCTGGGGGGTTGGGGTATGTAGTCAGGGCAGCAGCTCTCGAGTTGACTGCACGTCCTCTGCGCCCTCTCCCTGGGAGAGAACAGCTCGTGTTCCAGCAAAGCAGGACCCTGCTTGCCAAGGGGCCTTGGGTTGTGGGGGCCCATCTGTGCCTGGGGCTGTTTCCCCCTCCCTTCCACTAAGGAGGGTCTTGGCTTGCCCTGGTCCTGCCCTGCTGGCCTGGGCCAGCTCTGAGAGCCTCGTAGCGCAGGGCAGAGCTCTGCAGGGCTCCGCACTGCTCGAGGTGGCCACGTCCCACCGAGCTGCGTGTCCAGGTCTTGCTGTGTTCAGGGAGGCTGGTCCGCTGCTGGCTCACTGTGCCGTGCCCCTTCCCCTGCAGCTCTGCCGTGGCTTCATCAAGAGCAAGGCGGTGGAGCCCAAGGTGCAGAGCGAGAACTTCAGGGTTGTCTTCGTGGGCTCGACCACTGGCAAGGACAACAACATCTCCATCGTCCTTCTCAGCGTGGACTTCAGTGACGCCGGGAAGTACACCTGCCACGTCAAGAACCCCAGGGAGAAAGGGAACGCCGAGCACTCCTCCTACATCGAGCTGCAGGTCGTGCACAAGTGTGAGTGTCCGCGGGAGAGCCCCGGGGCGTGGGACGCATGTGCACATCAGGCCTGTGGCCAGTGGCCATAAAAGAGCTGGGGGTCTGGGCACCTGGTGTTTCCGGGGGCGGAGAGCAGACCACTCCAGGGTGTGCTGCGGGCTGGGAGAGGTGCTAACAGATCCATATAGCCTCAGGGAACAGTGGTAAAGACCAGCTTGGTGTCTCCGTGGCTGCTAGGAGCCCCCGCTGTGCCCGTGCTCGCTGAGGCTGGGAGACCTCTGGGTGGGCTCCAGCGCTGGTGAGGCTTGGGTTGCAGCCTCCCCCTCACCCGGGCTTTCTCGTGCAGTGGTGGTAGCAGACAACACCCTGACACTCATCATTGTGGCCGTCGTGGGTGGGCTCATCGGCCTCCTCATCCTCTTCATGGTGGTCAAGAAGGTTGTCCTCTTCATCATCAAGAAGACCCAGGATGGGAAGTGAGTAGGCCGGGGGGTTGGGGCCAGTGGATGGGGTGCAGTGTGTGGCCTGGGGCCAGAGGAGGGAGTGCTTGTCCCAGTGGGTGGGAGAGGTCGAGAAGCCCTGCCAGGTGGGGGGCGGTGGGCCGGGGCTTTGCCGTGCCATGGGCTGCAGGGTGACTGTGCACTGTCCCCTAGGAAGGAGTGTCTCGTGAGCTCGTCGGGCAACGACAACACGGAGAACGGCCTGGCGGGCTCCAAAGCGGAACAGAAAGTGACACCAAAGGCATGAAGCAACCGCAGCACAAAGCACCTGCCTGCAAGGAGGCGAAACCCCGCTGGGGCAGGGGCTGGACCAATGACCTTGCCAAACTAACCATGCTTAGGACCTGTCTGTATTACACACGTGCCTGCAATTCGCGCTGCTGCTTCTCAGACGAGACTGCAACCGCCGCGGGGCCCGGGAGCGGCTCAGGGACCCCGGCTGGAGCGGGCGGACGACCCGGCTGCTCTCGGGGCAGGGACGGCGCATGTCAAGTAAGAGGGAAGAGGCAGGGGCCCGGGCTCCTGGCAGGGCTGCGGGCCGGAGCGTGGCACTGCCCACAGGGCTCCGGCGTGGCTCTCCCCTGAAGCTCGCTGCAGAACCAAATTTATGTTCCCCTCGTGTGCCTGGCATGGCCTTGGCCTCCGCTCCTTGCCGGCTCTTGTTCCCCGGAGGGCCCGAGGCCCCCTGGGTGAGCCGCCCCCCATGGGATCCCCTCTCCGCCCAGGGACCCCTATTGCTTGGGCTGCTGGAGGGCCCGTCTGACTGGGCTTGGGCAGCAACAGGCCTGATGTCATGGCACCGTGCGCGGGCCCTGCAAGCGTCTGGCTGCAGTCCTCGCCCCGTCCCTGCATCAGTGCCAAGGGTTGGCTCTGCCCTCCCCAGCCCTGGGCGTCCTGCTGCACCCGGGTGTGGGGTGAGCGGGGAGCTCTGCACGGGTGCAAACAGCAGCAGGGAGGGATACGGGGCCTGGTATGTGGCTGGAGCCCAGGTGGGAGCTCTGGGTGGGTCGGTGGCAATGAGGCCCCTCCCTGCCTGTGTGCAGCGCAGTCCCAGCTCAGGCCACAGCCACTGGTCAGCGGACCCGGCGAAGCGTGGAGAGCCAGCTGGAGGGCTGGGCAGCCCGGAGGCACCCACGGGCTGGGCTGTCCGTAGCCCTGCTGCGGGCTCCACTGCGGGGAGCCCCGGAGAGGCTGCGAGGGCAGTCAGGCCCTGTCGGATGAGCTGATTCTCTGGCCTGTGCCTGCCCTGTCCCCAGTTCCCCCCCCAGGTCAGGAGCTAGATGGGGCGGTTTGCAGCTTCCAGCCAAGGGCTATGCTCTTACTGCTTTGCAAATCTCCCCGCGGCTTCGTCTAGACCCTCCCCTCCCCTCCTGGACACCAGTGACATCCCGAGTGACACCACTGGTGCTGGCGGTACCCAGCGTGACGCTGGTGGACCGGGGAGGAGAATCGGGCCACGCACGCTGGTCCCTGGTCCTGGCAGACCCACAGGGAGGGCCAGCTTGGGCTACAGGAGGGAAGGGGCTGCCTCAGGGTGGAGCAGGCTGGGCTGTGTCCTCGTGCTGCACATCTGAGCCCCAGCGTGGGGCTGGGGGCCCTGGGGGCATGGCTGTAGATGTGGGGGTCCCCCTTGCCGGCTGGCGGATGCTGGGGGAAGGGGGGGTCCTGGCACAGAAGCTGGCTTGTTCTGCCTCTGGCTTGCCTCACTCGTGCCCGGGCACCCGCCCGTCGCCCACGTGTCCTGCCCCCCGCGCCGCCCTGGCCGCCTGGGGGGAAGCTGCCGTGCTTCTCGTCTGTGGATTCTGGGCTTCCTCTTTCTTTCTTCGGCTAGGCACATGCCGAGCAGGCGCTTTAGATGCTGGCGCAGCAAGGCTTTAACTGGTTAGGCAAATATTTTTTTATAATGGATTTAACTGGGAAAACGGCTGATTCTGTTTTCCTGTCATCTAGGAATGAGCATGGCCTCCATTCACGATGCAGGGAGGGGGTCGGCCAGAGTCCAGGGCTCAGGACTTCCAGGTCCTGCTCCTGACTCTACCACCGACTTGCTGTGTGACCTTGGGCAAGTCACTTTGTCTCTCTGTGCCTCAGTTTCCCCATCTGTAAAATGAGGGTAATAATACTGATCTACCTCGCAGGGGTGCTGTGAGGCTCCCTGGAGTCACATTTATAAAGTGCTTTGGATCCTCGGATGAGACGGCTGCAGGCAGCCCGCAGGCGGGGAGGGCGGCGGTCGAGCACGTGAGCGCAGCCAGATGCGGGAAGCCACAACCGCATTGGGACAGAGGGACTCGCCACCGTGCTGAATGCCAGGGATGCTGGCTGGGCAGCCCCCGCAGACAGCCAGAAATGAGAGCCTGGGGAGGTCTCCGTTGCGCCCTGCCCCGCTCTGCTTCCTCTGCAGCCCCGTCTGCCCGGCCCGGTGCCCGCCTCGCGCGCCATCCACTCCCAGCCCTGGCAGGGGACTGTTGTCGTGGGGGGAGCCCCACATGCCCCGCTCCACAGGTCCTGCCGGGGACACCAACCTGGGCCTGTAGCAGCAGAACCGGACTGGATGAGCTGGCACGCAGGTGCCCGGGGCGTCGGGCTCCGTGGAGTCCACCATGGATTTCATGGCTGCTTGTGCCCATGCATGGCGTGTGCCTGGGCCTGCATGGCTGGTGGCAGAGCTCCCTCAGACAGGCTGTCAGCCGGGGCAGGAAGGCAGTCTTGCCTGAGCACGGCAGCTCTGTCTTGGGCAAAAGATCTTCCAAACCATCTGCAAGGAGCTGGAAAAGCCTTGTCTAACTACGGAAGGAGCAAATAACCCTCCGCCTGCACCCCTACCCCCATGCCACCCCCAGTGGCCTTGCCTCCAGATGGAATTAAAACCTTTCTGAAGGTAAAATTCAGGCCAACAGTGTCCCTCTGAAGTCCAGTTCAGTCCTTGCATGTCGTAAGCTGCTGGGTTCATCGCTCGTGCATACATGTCCGTGCCCTTGTCCATGCGACCCAGGAACAGGCTCTTTCCTCCGCATGCCCACACCCGGGGGAGTCGGGAGTCGGGAGTCAGGGTGGGTCTTGGCGTTCCAGCGAGGAAAGGGCACGCGGGAGGTCTGTGGTGGGGGCTCGGTCTCCAGCCCAAGGGCAGGAAGTGCAGCCAGCTGGACCTGGAGCTGGGCACCCTGCCAGGGCCGCGTGGGCTGTGTGCACTATAGGGAAGGCCACGTGCTGTTTTCTCCAGGAGGGAACTGGGATGGGCGCTTGTCTCTGGCAGTGCCTGAGGCCCTGTTCATGACTGAATTTGGTGCTCACTGCCGGGGTGCAGGCTGCAGACAGAGCTTGGGTGCAGTGCCCAGTGCCAGTGCCCACGTGGCCGTGGTTTCAGAGGGGAGTCGCAGCTGCACCCTGTCTAGTGGCACCGGTGCGTGGGGAGGCTCTGCGCCAGGGCGGGCATCGCAGGGAGGCAGCTCCGGCTCTGGCACAAGTGCTGTGCGGGGGCAGCGTCTCTGCTGCATAGAGCAGGGCCTGGGGCTCCAGAGCCCGGCTCTGCTCCCTGCTCTGCCACCGGGAGCCGTAGGGAGCCCAGGGCACATCGTTCGACCTCTGTGCTCAGTTTCCCTGCCTGTCCAATGGGCTCAGACTGACCTACCTCATGGGTGCGGGGAGGCTGCTTCCTCCCTGGTTGTCAGGGGCTCCCAGATCCTTGGATGAAAGGCGCTGTATAAATGCAAAGTATTATTAAAGTACCATTGTCACTCATGCAACGTTAGCGGGAAAGGCATACAATCTCCCAGCTAGCCCACCAGCCCCGGCCCCTCCCTGAAGAAGAGCTCTCCCAGGAGAGCGCAGTTGGGGGAGGGAAAGGTTTTTTAAAAAAAACTATTTTTAGTGGCCATAACCTGTCAGTCTTTTTTAGAATCAGGATCAGGACATCGTCCCACTTCCCACATGATATGCAATGCTGTACTATGCATGGACTCTTCCCCTGGCTTGACAGAAAACTTAACGCAATCAGTTCTTGACCCGCAACTCTCGGTCTGCGACGGTGTGCGGGTGCGTACAGCCTGGCAGCGGGCATGCTTAGGACGCTCCCTTGGCACAAAATCCTGAGCTATGTGGTGCCCGCTGTCCACACACGTGCACAGAGACCTGTACGTCCGGGCGTGCGTTGGGTGTACTGGTTTTACATATAGGATATACTGTAAACAGACACGGGGTGTCTCCGGACATCCTGTGTGTTGCCTTTAAAACACGTTTTGCACTGTAGAGTTTTATTTAGCTTTGCCTTGAATGAAATAAAAGTTGACATTTAGTAGAGACGTTCTGCCTGGGCTCTTGCTGGCGTCTGCTCCTGTCGGCTTCGGCCTCCTGCACGGCTGAGCGCGAGCACACGTGCACCTGAGGGACCTCGAGGACACGGCTTCTCCCAGCCTACGACGCGTGGCCGCTCAGCAGTCCTGGTGAGATTGCTGTCCAACAGCCCCTTGTTTTCTGTTGGGGTTGGCACCTTCCTGGCTTGGCAACTGCCCTCGCACCCCCTCGGGGACCTACAGCGCGGCCCACCTCCGCCTGCAAAATGGGATGATGCCAACAGCTCTGCAAGGGCTTTGTAAGCCCTAATTAGGAGGGCGCAGTGCTGGAGGTCCTCAGCCGGGGCCTGGAGGAGGACACGGAGTTATTCGCACAAGACTGATCACAATGCTAGGAGCCCTTGCTGTCAGGTTCAGCACAGGTGAAGGGAAACAGGCCTGGCTTCTAGCCGTATCACATGCCAGCCGTGTTGCAGAGCAGATCGTTTCTTCTTTTTCTTTTCTTTTTGGTTTAAATCCTGTCTTTGAGAACTGTTCAAGCTGCCGCTCCCCCGCTCAACTCCGCTGGCCTCCTGGTCGCGGTCCAGAGGCGTGTTCTTGTTTACTTGGTCGCGGGCGCACAATGCATCTTTGTTCCCAAGAGCCGCCCCTGCGCCTGGGCTTCGCACGGCAGGGGCGATCCCGGATGGGAAAATCTGGGCTTGTTGCAACGGACTCGCAGCTCCTCGCGGGGGGTGGTGTCCGCGCTGGAGACCACCGGCACGGGTCTCAACAGAAAGCACCTTCAACAGGACGCCATTGTTCCTCTTTCTCCTTCCTAGAAAGTGTCTGTGGCGGGATCTCTCCTTTCTCAGCAACTCCCTGCTCAGCCGTTCCCCTCCGAGCGCCTTGGCCTCACCGTCGCAGGGGGCAGCTGTGCAGAGGGCCGAGGGGCGCCGTGCAGCAGGGAGAAGCACTGGCACGAGCTTGGTGTGTGGAAGCCTGGACTGCACGCGTGACGGGCCCGGGGCAAGGGGAGCCCGTGCATCCGGCGGGGCAGGGAGAGCACTGGCAGGACGCCGTCTGGAAGGCAATGCGTCCCTGTCCAGATCCAGGGGGGCCGTAATACTGCCGCCCCCAGACTGGACGTGCTCTGCACACACAGTGCCATAAACACGTGCAAGTCTTGCAGACAGGTGCGAGGCCCTGCCCTGCCTTGCCCTGGCCCTGGCCCGGCCCTGTGAGACCACCCCGGTGCATCGCTCTGCCCAGCACCCGTGCGGCCTGAGCAGACCATGGGGATTTGCTGTCCATAGTGAAATGCGGTGCTTCCCAAGCTCCTTCCACCCAAGCATGTCATATTACCAGCAGGTTCATCCTAGAGAGCCCCACTGAGGCAGGGAGTGTCCCCATTTCAGTATGGGGGAAACTGAGGCACTGCACTGGTTGCTCAGGGCAGGGATGATGCTGAGCACGTGGGAGCTGCAGCAGCGTGCAGACACAAGGGCTCATGATGCACTAAACCACTGCAGGCCACAGCCCCTGGTGCTGCCAGACTGGGCACGGACTGGCACTGCCAGGAGCCTCCAACTCTGTCGTCCTGCTGCCCTGACTGAGGGGGCCGCGGCAAACAGCCAGTGTCGAGGCCCAGCTATGAGGAGCTCCTGGGACCCAGGCCTGTGCCCAGACCCCTGGAACAAGCCGGCCTCATGCTGGTGCTGGGGGCTGCTGCGTGGAGCTGCAGCGCTGTGTAGTACAGAATAAGCCCTGGGGTCTCTAAGCGCTGACATTAAATGCACTGTGATCGCTCAGTGATCAGTCCTGTGATCATCACGATCCTTTTAGCAAACATCTCTTTCTCATAACCCAGAGCTGCCCTGCACCCGAGAGCCAAGCACCACCCGCCAGAACACGGCACAGTGATCCCGAATGCCCTGCCAGGCCCCACAGCCCAATTGCAGGACGCAGGGTCTTGCGGGGGGAGCAGAACATCTCGTGTTCCCTCGGCCGCAGACCGGGGCTGCTGCCAGTCGGAGATGGGCAGAGCCCCACGTCCAGCGCTGGCCTCAGCTCAGGCCGGCCCTTGTGTCTGCTGCGGGGCCCAGAGTGGGGTTGAGCCCATCTCTGCGGAGAGGAGAGGTCGGTCCTTTGCAAGGGTGCCCTGGGAACAGGAGCGGGGTTTAATGGCGCATTGCACATGGTGAACACGCTGCTTGTTCCCTCCGGCTGCCAGGGCTGCAGGGACAGGAGCTTCCCAACGCAGCGGCTCTGCGAAGAGGGCGGACCTCGTCCTCTCCCAGGAGGAGCCCGAGCGGGCTAAGTAGGAGGGTGCTGCTGCTTCTGGCTGCCTTGGCTCTCCTCCCGCATCCTCCGGCAGCGCTGAGCGGGGCCGCTGGGCCTTCAGGATGGGGATCAGGGTGGAGGGCGGAGGCCAGGCTCCCAGCAGCTTGTGCGCAGCAGTCAGACAGGGAAGGGAGGTGCAGGGAAGGGGAGCAGGCCTGCACCCGGGCACCTCACTGCTCGGACTGGGCGGGAGAGAGAGACGAGGAATCAGAGACTAAAACTGGCAGCAGCAGCAGAGCAGGAGCAAGGCCAGCGCCCCTGCCCAGCCAGCCCCCGCCCAGACCGTTCCTGGCCAACGCGCCTTGCTGTGCCCGGCAGCCCCGGTGCAGGAGGCACTGTTTCCCCCGGCAAAACCCAAGCCTGCTTGCACCAGCCCCGCAGCTCTGAAGAGGCCCCTAGCTGGTGCCCCCACCATGGGCCAGCACGGCCGTGGTGCTCCTGCCCCGGGCCCAGGTGGCCTGGGCCGCACAGGGAGCAGGCGCAGGCAGCCCCAGCTCCTCTTGCACCCCGGCAGAGGACAGACGCGGGGCCCTGCACTGTGCCGCCGGGAGCCCTGGAGCGGTGCCAGGCTGGCGAGGCAGGGAGGCTGACCCTTTGCACGGTGTGGATCCAGTCGAGGTAGGCCTTCACGTTGGTGTAGACACCAGGGGTGCTCGCCTCGCCGCAGCCTTGGCCCCAGCTGACGATCCCCACCACGTGCCAGCGCTGCTGCTCGTACAGCAAGGGGCCGCCGCTGTCCCCCTGGAGAGACAGAGGCCAGCGTGAGCTGAGCTGCCCCGCGTGCGGAGGGCACCCCGGGGAGGTGGGAGAAGCACCCACCTGGCAGGCGTCGACACCGCCTTGCAGCAGGCCGGCGCAGAGCATCTTCTCCGTGATCTCACCCTGGTAGGCGCTGACGGCATTGCAGACGCTCTGGGCGATCACCTGGATCTCTGCCTGCTGCAGCACGGAGGAGAGTTTACCTGCATAACACACGCTCCCTCCGTGAGAGGCTCCCCTTTCCCGGTGGGACGGCTGGGAGCAGTCTATCCGCTTGCCCCCTGCCCCTGCCCACGCTTCCTGTCTCGCCTGTCACGCGGGGCCATCGCACACACCGGGGAGGGTGCAAGGGGCCCGGCGCTGAGCTCTGGGACCGCTGCAGCAGGCGCTTGCTCTGCTTACGAGTCCGTGCACGTGCTGCTGCTCCACTTCTCACCCAGGTTTGTCTCTGCTGCTGCTTCCTCCCCTGGATCCCTCCTGAGCTAAGGCACCTCTTCGTCGTCCCTGAGCCATAAGCTGGGCCCTGCTCTGCTCGGGGCCAGCAGGGCTGGTGCCTGCCCCCAACGCCACGGAGGCCGAGGGACGCCCCTCGGGCCCCAGAGCCCACTGGCCTGAGGCTGCACCAGGCTGTGACCTGACCAGGGTCCCACGACTCAATGCAGCACCTGGGCGGTACTTTCCTGGACCCCAGGAGGAAGGCTTTGGCCTGAAGTGTGTGAATCCCAGCCCAGCCCCAAACACGAACAAGCAGCGGTGCAGCCGCTGGGGCGGCAGCTTTCAGCCTGGAGGTGCAGACGGGCTCACCGTTCCTCCTCGTGTAGCCCCAGCCTGTCACCCACACTGGGGTGCCCGGGTTGAGGTCCTCGTCGAAGAAGGGCAGGCACACGGGCTTGACCACGCCTGGAGTGGGGAGGACAGGGAATAGCAACCTCAGGGGGCAGGAAGGGAGTCCTGGACCCTGGCTGTTGTGCCCCAGCACGGGCAGGATCTGGACCTCGGGCCGGGGTATGTGTGCTGGGGTTGTGGGCCCCAGGTCAAGGCAGAGGGGTCTGTGCTGCCATGACGAGCCAGCCAGGGCACGTGGGATGTAAGCGTGCCTGCACACCCGGGCGTGCTCATGGCTGACACTAGTCCTATTTGCACGGGGCCCTTTTCACTCCGGTGCGGGCAGAGCGGTGGCAGGAGTCCCCCCACGCTCCCTCCCACCCACCCCAGTGCTGACTGGCACGTGGCCCAGCTGGAGCATCTATGCCAGGTGGCGGGGAGCCCGAGGAAATGGGTGGCTCTGGATTGGGGGCGCTCGTGGCCAGGCAGGGCTCCGGGAGTCGTTGTCCACCTGACAGGCGCAAGGGCGTCTGCAGCTTGACCAGGGCGATGTCGTCTCCCTGGGGGATCACAGAGGTGCCGTCCGGGACGAAGACCTTTTCCACCAGGGCAGTGTTGGTGTTGGCGTCGGAGAGCAGCTCGGAGCCGGCCTGCACGTGCCAGCTCTGTGTCCGTGGGTTGGTCCTGTGCAGACACAGCGAGATGCGGCGTTGGGCATAGGGCGGGAGAGGCTCCCTGCATGAGTGCCGTGGCCCCAGGGGCACACGCGGTCGGACTTACTTGAAGCAATGTGCCGCGGTGAGGACCCAGCGCGGGCCAATGATGCTGCCGCCGCACATGTGCTCCCTCTGGTACTGCAAGCTGACCTGCCACGGCCAGGCCTCGATCGTGGCCCGCTCCCCCCCAAGGATGCGCGGGGTGCGGAGGCTTTCACCGCAGCCTGCAGCCAAACGGGGGAGAGATGGCGCTCAGCGCTGCCCTCTGCGCAGGCAGGGGGACTGCACACAGAGCTGGGCCCTGGCAAGGTCCTGGTCCGTGCAGGGCCGGTCGCACGCTCTGAGACTATCAGCCCTGGCGATACCGTCAGACTTACCGGAGCAAGTGAGCGAAACGCGGGAGCCCGAGAGGCACTGCCTGGAAGGCGAAGCAAAGCGTCCTGTCAAAGCCGCGCTGCTCACGGTGCCCCCCTGCCCTGCGCTGTGAGGGCAGATGCCAGCCTGCGCACTGCCCTTATGCTAGGGCCCGAGGGCCTCAGCGGGCAAGCCTGGGCTGGCGAGGTTGCATGTGCTCTGCGGGACAGAGGCAGCCGCAGCGCTCTGACCTGGGCCAGCCACGGTACGGCCTGTGCAGCGCCCACCACCGCTGCAAGCTCCCCCCGGCCTCTGCAGCCCCTGGGGAGGTTGCTGTCTCAATGTCCCCTGAGCTCCCTGCCAAGAGCTGGGCCCCCTGCGCCCTGCCGTCTGCCTGGCTGCACCAGGCCTGGGCGCCGGGGAGCACCGCTGGGCGGGAGTGCCCTGAGACCGACCCCGGATGCCACGCTGACTGAGGGCTGTGTGAGAGTACGAGTGCCTCCCTGCTCCTGTCCGAAGGAGCCAGCTCCTCTGGCCGCTCCCCAGGACACGGCTACAGCCGCCCCAGGGGATCTGGTCCTCGCCTTCCCGCTCACCTGCTCGTGTCCTGCACGTGGAGGCTGCCGTTGCTCAGCGTAACCTCTCGGAAGGGCAAGCCCCGCACGTCCACCGTGTCCACGGCCTGGAAAGTGGGGACGCTGAAAGGCATGGAGGGCGATCACCAGTCTGGCTCCCTGTCACCATACGGGGCCGTGACCAGGGGAGCCAGCAGGGAAGGTCCCAGCACGTGGTTGTGTTGCAAGGATGCAGTGGAGCGTGGCACAGGTGTTTCTCATGAAAGCTCAGGGCTGCCACTGCTCCATGTGACACGGCTCCCTCCCTGGCCCTAGCAACCTGGCCAGGTGCCCGGGGCTCATGGCTGTGCGAGAAGACGGGAGCTCACAGCATGGGCAGAGCCTGCTCCTGGGTCCCCTCCTGGTCAGTGGGGCTGTCTGAGCCTGGGACAGCACCCGTGCGGGGACGCTCGCAGAGCATGGGGCCACGGCAGTGTGTGGGGGGGATGTGCTCGGGATGCAAATCATGATGGAAGGAGGTACGGGATGCACAGGCCAGCTGTGCCTCCACCTGAGCCGGAGCAACCCCTCCAGGCTTGCAGCTTGGGAAACAAAAGAAAGGGCCCAGCTGGAAGGGGAGGGAGGGCAGGAACAGCCAGCAAGGCAAAGAGCAAAGCATCCCGGTGGCCACGAGCGCCACGGACTCGGAGACGGAGCTGTGCAGCCCGGGGGTGACTGCCGCAGCGGCGGCTCTTGCTTGCTCAGCAAGTTGTCACGCTGCCAGGCCGGCTCCGGGCTGCAGTGCGGAGGAGCTCGGAGCTGGCAGGGCCGCCGGGCAGAGGAGGGGAGGCAGCCCCACTCCGGGTGATAAGGACTGGAGGTGGGTGCCCTTCTCCTGGCAGCCTCTCTGGGCGCTAACCGGGCTCCACCAAGGAGCCTGCCTGAGACTTGGGAAGAGGCAGAAACCTCTCTCTGGCATTCCCACTTGTGTCACGAGTTGAGGGTGTTCTCATGTTCCCTGCCCCACTGGTGGCCCAGAGGCCGTGCCAATGAGCAGGGCTGCGGCAGCCAGCACTCGGCACACGCCGTGCTAGTTGCATGCCCCCACGTGCTTCAGGGGAAGGGCTGTGAGCTCCCGGTGGGGACCCAGAGACAGGGCAGAGGCTGGGTTGGGAAAGCTGCTCCGTGCCCCAAGCCCCTGGGCATTGCAGGTGAGGTGTGCAGGCTGGTCCTTGACTCCCTAGGTCCCGGCCTCATGGGACCAGGTAAGGAGTCAGTCTGGGCCTTCATGCCTGGAGGCATGAGCCTGGCTGCTTGGGCAGGAGAAAGGAAACCAGCAGCCCCCAGCCCCCAGCCCCCAGGCCCGGTGATGGAGCAGGCTCTCCTGTGGCCAGGGTCAGGACCGTGGGGCTTCCGTTGGCGGGGTGGGGGAATGACACCCCATGGTCATAGCCGTGCTGAGTGTGGGGTAGAGCGGCAGGGACCAGGCTGCTGCAGGGGTGGGGGGTGCAGGATGGGGCCCAGTCTGGCTCCCGCTGCTCCTGCCTGACATTCATGGAGAGCACTGGGTGCCACAAGTGTGTTGGGTCTCTCTCCTTAATGGGAGGGAGGGGCAGGGCATACTGGGAGTCCCATGACTGATCATGTGAGCAAAATGGGGCGTAAAAGGCAGGGTCTGGCCCTGGCTTGGGCACTGCCCCTGGGCTGAGGGAATTGCAGCTGGGGTGGGCAAGAGCCTGGGCAGTGCAGGGAGCTCTGCTGCAAACCTGGGGACTGGCTTCAAGGGGCAGAGCTGGGCTGAGCCAGGAAGCTCAGTGCCCCTGCAGCAGAGGGGTCCTAGCCCGTGCACGCAGGAGCGGGCAGGTGTGTGCATTGCAGGGGCTGCCTGGGGCTGGGAGGCTGAGGAAGGGCTGGTGTGAGGAAGGCTGGGCTGCAGGGTAGAGGCAGCTTCCTTGTGGCCCCGGCCTGGCAATGGGCACTAGGGCGCTAATACCTGCCTTACCCAGAGTTTCTGGGGCAAGTGGAGAGGGCGGGGCACAGGTACCTGTCGTATCCCAGCTGCTTGCAGGCTGCACTGGCCAGCGTCAGATTGAAGTTATCATGACATGCCCAGAACCAGACTCCGGTCTCCCGGTTGAGCACCTGCAGGGTGGATCCGTCCTTGGACACCCGGACTAGGGGGAAGCGCAGGGTGAGCTCCATGGCAGGGCTGCCACCAGCCGGCTGCAGCGCAGTGCACGGAGCCCTGGCAGGGCGCATTGTCCCCAGGCTGGTGACTAAATGCAGCAAGGAGCTCTGCCAGCCGCCCCCTCCGCACCCTGGGCAGCCCCAGGCCCATGCTCACCTCCCAGAGAGGGGCCGAGCGGGGTCCGCTGCACGCAGTGCTCCTCATCCTCGCCCCAGAAACAGTCGGTCTGCTCATCGCACAGCTGCTGCAGTGGGATGAACTTGAAGGTTTTGCTGCAGAAGAAGTAGTAGCGCTCCACCAGCCCCTTGACTGGGGGAGAAGGGGCAGTGTCACCCTGGCCTGGCCATGGGGACCGGGCTGAGCCCTGGCCAGGGCACTCCCAGGGGTGAGGTGTTGGTCATGCTGCCTCCACCAGCTAGTGTGGGGCCAGGAGGCCTAGGGCATCTTCCCACGGGTTCTTGCCAGGGCAGGATTAATTTGCACTGAGCAATCCCTGCTCAGCTCAGCGGGGCACACCCACCCACCTGCCCGGGGACTACACAGAAGGGGACAGGCCCAGGCTCGAACAGAGCCGAACAGAGCCGCCCTGCCCCAGGAGCTCACCCTGCAGCCCCTTCGCAGCCAGAGCTGGGCTGCAGCAAGGAGTGACCTGTACTGTGCCAGCCCGGGGAGCCCCCCACCCCTGCTGCACCCTGGCCTGAGAAGCCCCCAGTTTTGGGGGCCCGTATGAAGTGTGCAGCCTGGCCCAAGCTCCACCCAGCTTGTACTGGCCTCGTGATGGCTTTGGTGCTATTGGTGCCAAACTGCAGTCAGGGCTGCATTGGCTGCGGCTGCTGGGACGTGGCATTTCTCCCTGGGGCACAAAGGGAGGGCAGCAGCTGTGCAGCCCTGACTGCATCAGCTCGGCACGTGGAGCGGGGCAGCACAGCAGGGCCTTACTCAGGAAGGCGATGGCGACGAGGGTGGCGACGCTCAGCACAGCGGCAATGATGGGGATGCCGAGTCTCTTGAAGGCCTGCAGCGCGGCCGAGGGCTTGCGCGGCGGCTCGGGACCTGCAACAGAGAGCAGGCCGTGGGCGCCTCGCCTCTGGCCCGCCTGGCATACAACCACATGCAGATCCCGCACCTGGGGTCCTGGGGGCATTACCTCTCTGCAGAGGCTGTGCGGAGTCCGGGTTCTGAAAAGCAAGGGGAACAGCAGTCAGTGAGCAAAGAACGTGTGAGGACAGGTATTTGTGCAGGGGGATCCATGCGCCACTCTTCTCCCCCTGCAGCTTCCAGCATTCAGGGGCTGGGGAAGTCCTAGCCCCGTATCGCTGTCCCGTGGGAACCTGGCCGAGCCCCTTTGGCACCTGGCTATACCACCAGCCTGCACAGCCCTCTGGCAAGGACTCCCACAGGTTAACGCGAAACCTTCCCTTTGCCTTCAGATCTGTGAGCTGAGAATTTCAGTGCCCCCCGCCCCGGGTTACAGCACCATACGTTAGTGGCAGTAAACCCTTGTTACTCCCTGCACGCTGTTCATGCTTTTACAGGCCTCCATCCTACCCAGGGGGCTGCATGCCCGAATGCAAAGACCTTCACCCTGAGCTCCACGAGAGCCTGGGGGCCCGTGGTCTCCAAGGTGGTGGATCCCCTGTGGGGCTCTGTGCAGGGCCCTGATTCTGCACTCGCCCCATTGCCCAACGCCCTGTTGACGTCCCTCTCGCCACCGCAGGCTCCTCACTGGGCGCTAGAGCCCAAAGCCTGGGACCTGCGGCCTCAGTGCCTTATCCCAGCACCTGGGAAATCCCCAGGAGAGAGGATGGCTCAGCAGCAGGGCTGATCCTCTGCAGCCATGGGGTGTCTGGCCAAGCCGCTTCACAGCTGCAGCAACGGGGGAACGTGCTCATCGCAGCTGCACTTGGCCTTGCTGCGCCTGCCTGTCTCATCGCAGCAAGCGACCCCCGCGGCCCGTAGCCTTGGTGGGGCTGTTCCTGTGCTCGCAGCTAAGCACACGTGCAAATGCGCTGCTGGTCCGGGGCCAAGCCCTCAGCCAGGGCCGTTTCTGCCACAGCAAACAAACCAAAGGCAAAGGGGAAAACCAGCCCCAGGAAACCTTGGCACAGCCCTTTGCAGGAGACAGAAGGCTGTTTGTCTGGGGAGCTCGTTACTCCAGCACAATCCCACTTGCGTCATCTCGCCCTCGCTGACCCCGGGGGAGAAGTCACCTGGAACCGAGAGCCGGGATCCGGGACCCGGGGCCGTGGGAATGACCGGCTGGGCCCGCCGCGGCACTGAGCACTGACTTCCAGTGCTGGGCCAGGGCCCAGGGATGCGGGAGCGGGGCTGCTTCAGCCTTTGTGAAGCAGGGGAGAGGATTCAGGGGCAGGTGGAAAGGCCCGGCGCAGGGCTTTGTCCTGGGGCTGCCTCTAGCTCAGCCGGCAATGCCGATCCTGCTGCCAGACGTGTGCCCCGGGCCGAAGTCTCCAAAATCCCTCTATCTGGCAGCGAAGGCAGTCCACAGGCTTTCCCCTCCCTCTGGAGCAGTGTTTCTCACCCCTTTCAGCCTCAAAGCACCCTCGAGAGATCGAGGCCCCTCCATAGCTGTGACTGGAGCAGCACCCCATTCCCGAAACCAGCTCATTGCTAGAGCAGCACAGCACAGATGCATCGAAGTCAAACCTTGGAGTCCGGGTAAGATGGGTTTGGGTCCCTGGATGGCTCCGGTGAGTGGGAGCAGCCTTTCCAGATCCACCCATAGCTGTTGCCAGCTTGTGGCCATACATTCATAGCCCCGCCATGGGACAGATGTGGATAGTCTCTGTCTACTGCTGTGGCTGCTGCTGGGGGGCAGCTACCTTTCATTGGCAGAAAAAGCAAGGACAAGAATGGGCCATGGAGAGTGACATCCCATTTCACCTCTAGAAGAGCGTTGTTCATGGCAGAGGCACATACACAAGGGCAGCCAGGGGCTTTGTGTGTGCCCATTCCTGTGGGAAAGTAGCAGACTTCTGTGTGCAAAGCCGTCATTGCATCGAGCACAGCTTGTCTGTCTCAAACCTCCCTGTGCCCTTCGAGAGATCGGTGCTGATCCCTTACACTCCCTACAGTTAAAAGACTTGGCATTTGATCAAATGCTTCCCCTCCAACACCATTTAAAACCAAAATGTGGGAAGGGAAAAAGGACATTGCTAAGAGGATGAGTTGTGAAATCCTTCCCCGGTGCCTGTCTCTCTCCCTGGCATCAGGGAGGGGAATGGGACATGCCCAAACTCCTGCTCCCTGGAGGTGCCAGGACTGACTCGAGGTGCCCAGTGTGGAGAGGTCAATGAACCATGCAGAAAACTACCCTTCCTAGGATAACACAGCACAGTCTCCCTATGCCTGAAGAAGGGTGTTTGTGCCCCGAAGCATGCAAAGCATTTTTTCCCAACTATTTACTTGGTCTAATAAAAGACATCAGATCTACCCAAAGGACCTTGCCTGCCTGTGTCCTTAGACCAACACGGCTACAACCAACAACCCTTTCCAAGATGAACTGAGAGATCAGCTCAAGCACCAGAAGAGCTGGCTCAAAACAGGGTCACATGCCTGGCAGTGACATACCATGACAGTGTACAAGGGGAGGGATTCACAGATTCATAGATGTTAGGGTCGGAAGGCACCTCAATAGATCATCGAGTCCGACCCCCTGCATAAGCAGGAAAGAGGGCTGGGTCTAGA